TAGTTGAAGAGATTTTTTCATTTTGTTCAATAAAATGATGTAAAAAATATTTACTGATTGAAAATCTAGGAATGGAATTATATTGTGAAACAGAAAAAACTAGAAAGTAGAGCTTTTGGGCATTGGCAAATTGAAATTAGTAGAGCTAAGACTTATCCTATTATATTTTTCTCATTTACTCTTTTAAAAAGACTGTTTCTTCTATGTAACTGATATAGTTTTGTGATTAGTGTGAAAACTGTGAAAGGCAAAACTTCATTAATTTGTGTCTCATTTCTAATTTTATTATAAATCAAAGTAAAGATCTCACATTGCAGTTTCTCACTTTATATTAAAGCATTAATAATGCTATTTTTTGTGTGAAATGAGTTTTTAAAATATTTTCGTTATTTTATTTGCAGGAAAAGAATGCAATTTTACAAAACATGAGAGAAAATGCAACTTTTCTAACTGAAGCTTTGAACAAAATTAAAGGAATCAAATGCAATAAAGTTGCTGGAGCCATGTATGCTTTTCCTCGGCTGTTATTGCCACCAAAATTCATTGAAAAAGCAAAGGTAATCAGACACTTATATCAAATGAACTTTAACCGTGTAGTACAGCTCAACAGTTGTTGCTTTGTACAATAATGAACTAGAGCAGACAGGTAACTACTATGTATGTAACTTGTATAAGTTTAATAATGAATGAAAGTAACCATGTAAAAATTGAATACATTATTAAAATAAAAAATATATAAAAAGTTACTAGCATATTTCTCTATGTTCAGAAAATGAGATACAAATTGTCTTTAACTGCATTTCTTGTCATGTCTGGCCCTTGATGACTCAGTGGGTACATTTGAGGGCTTATAAAACAGATGTTGCACTAATGAACAAATAATCCAACTTGTCTTATTAGAAGTAAAAAACAGAAATGTGATTTTAAAAAAACCAAAAAACACGAGGTCGAATATTACTTTCATTATATTTGCTAAGAGGTACAAGTTTTGCTTTTGCTTTGTCATCTTAGGAATTTTACATAATTACTAATATGTATTTATTTCATAATATTTCAATTTAATATTCTGACATTGCAGTTGTCACACCAATTCTAACAATGGCCTTTAGCAAATATCAAAATATCATACTTCCCTTTCTGTAGAAATTTTATGTGAGTGGCAAAAACTTTATTTATTCATAAACTTTGATTTAAAGTTAATTGAGATAATTAATGTAAGTCATCCCTTTTTCCTATGTATTTACACATCAGCACTTTTATACGTTTGACCAACTCTGTTCACAATTATTTTTTTTATTTGTAAAGTATCTGCTTCCTCTCTAATACCTAAATAGTCTTAAGTAGATTGTCAATTTAAAGTTGTGTTTTTCTCAGTTGGAGATTTCCTTGGGAAGAATAAATTTATAAATCTTAAATGACTGCCATGGTGAGGAAAAGGATTTTCCCCAGAATTAATTATAATAAAATATTTAATTTGCATATGGAAAGGTCCTTGCACTATGTGTTGTATTTATTTATTTTTGCCTCACAGGGATGATTGTATGTGCATCATTTGCTATGCAGTTTTACTGAATACTAATACACAGTTTCCTAGAAATTCTTTGTGCAGTATAACTATTTTTAGTTTATTATCTTGTAATTTTAGTTGTCCTGGACAACTGATCCACACCCAAGAAACCCTCAAAGTTTCATAGTGATCAAAGATTGGGAAATAGGCACTATAGAAGTAACAAGAAGGAAAGTTAAAATGGCTGTTAGATTCATAAAAGTGGGAAAATTAATATAAAATAATAGGTTTTATAATGTTTCTGGGACATAATCATAATTCACAAGTTTCATGTTTGTCAGGAAGTTGAAAATTCTTCATCATTGACAAATATACAGACCCAAGCCCCTGTGTAATATATATTTAAAACTTTCAATAGTATTATATTTTATTAGTCATCCAGCTTAGGTTAGTTTAACACTTTGCTGTTGAAAGTTATATATTGTAATAAATTCACAACCATTTTTAGTAGAAACTAACTGGCCTGCTTTTTATTCCTTTACTGTATGCTAAAGGAGTTTATTTTTTTGTGCAAAAAGTTTTTTAATATTTCAAGAAATATTTCTTTCTACCTACGTATTATTTATATTTTTCTGTTTGATGCAATAAAGGATTTACTTGAAGTAATGTATATTAGGCCAATATATATATATATATATATA